GAGGTCAATGGTCCAACGACTACGGCATGCACGACTATGAGTACACCCCCCTCCCCCCCACAGAATATCGTGGAACACCGGTGCGGGCACATGCGCCAAGGTCTTGGGTCGCATAGCAACCCGACAGCTGCGCCAGCGAAGGGAAGGACGGGNTAACGACTACGGCATGCACGACTATGAGTACACCCCCCTCCCCCCCCACAGAATATCGTGGAACACCGGTGCGGTCACATGCGCCAAGGTCTTGGGTCGCATAGCAACCCGACAGCTGCGCCAGCGAAGGGAAGGACGGGCAGCACGAGGGGACCTGCAACGCAGTTTGCACGGGGTTTCCCACGCGAACCACGATCAGAATGCGCGGAACGGGGAGGTCTTCATCGCGTCCGGGATCCGGGATCGGATCATGCTCCCAGTGACCGACGCCGAGCGGTCTGCTACGATGCGGGCGCCCTCGAGAAACCCTGTATCAGCTGTGATGTTCCCGCGGTACATCAGCATTGACAAACACCATGCGGACCCTGTGGTAGGGGGTAGTGCATCCCAGGAGTTGACAGCAGCCCCTGCGGGCCAGACACCCGTAATCTTCAACCCATACCAGTAACCCTCGAGAGGTTTAGAAGGGAATAAGGTAGCGTTGGCTGTTTTAGGTCAAGCAGACGTAGGAGAGCGATGAAGAGAGAGAGAGCTACAAGACTGCAGGTTTTTCGATTTTCCCTCCGGGCATCAGCGATAGGAGTAGTCCCAGCGTGCCATGTCATATAGCTTTGCGGAAGCACTGGGCTTCCCCACGCAAATACAACAGATAAATTAGGACTGTAGGGAGGGGCGAGTCTGGTGCCCCCCTTGTCCAGCGGAGCCGAGTCCTGATTTTTTTTTGTTTTATCGGGGTGGGAGATTCACCCCAACAGTGTTCGAAGTACGTGTGAGTTTGACTTCCCTGTCACGCAAAACCCGCAGGCGTATTGCTCCCGTAGTCGAGTTTTCTATCTTTCTGGTTTCGTGGTGTTGGAAGCTTTCTCTCTTCTTTTTTTTTCATTGGAGGTTCGTCATATCTCCCTCCGCCTAAATCACCGGGAGTTTGATGATGCTCACGGACGAAGCCTCACTGTTCCTTGTCCCTCCTATATCCTCTCTGTTTTTGTCAAAAGTCCTGTCGATTGTTTCGGGTGTACACGTATCGGACCGACTTCGGATTCTTCACCAACACAGCCTTGAGGATGATATGTCCCGGGCGGTAGGAAGGTAGCAAATTCAGATCNTTTTTTTTCATTGGAGGTTCGTCATATCTCCCTCCGCCTAAATCACCGGGAGTTTGATGATGCTCACGGACGAAGCCTCACTGTTCCTTGTCCCTCCTATATCCTCTCTGTTTTTGTCAAAAGTCCTGTCGATTGTTTCGGGTGTACACGTATCGGACCGACTTCGGATTCTTCACCAACACAGCCTTGAGGATGATATGTCCCGGGCGGTAGGAAGGTAGCAAATTCAGATCAAATTGGTTTACCGGTGTTGAAGACATTCAGGATGGTTACTGTTTGCTCTCCTTGTCAATTTACACGTCGTGAAGTAATAACTGGGAGTAGTTCAACCCCACCTTGCCACCGCAACGCTCTCGTCTGAATGCGGCAACGAAGAGAATCCCCGCGGACTGACATGGCTTCGGCCAGGGGAAACGACCAGTGTTAACACCCATACACAAGACTTGTACTTCGAGAAAGGCTGTTGCGCGGCATAGGTGCGCAACATGCCGGCGCTCCTAGTGGCTAGAAGAATAGAGAACGCCAACTCCGACATGCACACAAACAAGATGGTAGTCCTGATCCATGAACGGTACAACATGACGAAACGAAAGCCGACGCCACGGACAGATCAACTTTCACCTTCTGCCTCGGAAAATTGTTCAAGAGCCACCCCCGCTAGACACTCCAGCCCCGTCCAAAAGCGACCGCGAGAAATTCATTGCAGCCGGCCGGGAAAGGTAGCCGCCGTCGTCCCTTCCGTCCTGCACAGGCACTTCTGACGTCGTAAAATCACTACCCACAGAGACCATCTCCCCACTACCTGTCGGGGCGTTGCCCTCACCCGCGTTCTCACCACCACGCCCCCCACATCCTCCCTCGGCGGGACCACTCCCCGTCGCATTGGGGCCTGCCCCTTTGACAGATTCCTGCCCGAACCCACCCACAAACGCCACCGTGTAATCGAGGAGATAATATTTTCTTGAGTTCGTTGTGCCCTCCTTCATCCCTGCGTCCTTTACGAGCACGAGAAGTTGTCTAACAGTGCACCTGTCGCTAATCTCCGCCCGGGACATCCCCTTCAACTGATAAAGGGTGGGCGGGGCCTGCCTCCGCGCACGTCCCCCCCTTCGGCGCTTTGCACCGCTCCCCCCGCCCCCTCCTGCGGTCCCGCCCCCTCCTGCGGTCCCGCCCCCCTGTGCAACCCCCTTTGCTTCGCCACTACCGCCCCCCGCCCCTTTATTTCTCCAGACCCGTGCGTCCAGCTGTTGCCGCAAAGCAGGCGCGGCCTTCGACAACTCGAGGGAAGTATTCTCCCTTTCACTCTTCGCGAAGTCACCCATTCGTACGTTAAGGATTTTCCAGACAACGAAAAGAAACATCTATTGGGATACACTAGGATCGATGGCAGGAGGGCCAGGGGGGCAGCAGTTTCCCCTCATTTTCTTGATGACCTCCGCCTCGCTTAAAACTTTGAAAATCTCGACTGGCAAGTCTCCGAGGCAAGCAGCAAGGAAGATGAGGTTTTAAAAGAAATGGAATATGCCTCTCTCCACGGCATACACGAACTCTACCCACTCGATCGTAGGGTAATNACTGGACCGGCGCGTGTTGTGTTGGACGACACGCACCCAATCCTGGGAAAGGTTGTGTCTTCTTTGATGCGTCCAAGCGGTCGCCCAACCGGCAATGTACNTTGTGTTGGACGACACGCACCCAATCCTGGGAAAGGTTGTGTCTTCTTTGATGCGTCCAAGCGGCCGCGCACCCGGCAATGTAGTACAGGACTTGCCCGTGCGGCTTTGTGATCTGATACCTTTCACTCGGTTGAGAGAGCTCCACGGCCACGGAATCCTTGCGCTCTTTCACGTACACCTTGTACAACTCCTGCATTAAGGGGAGAGGATGGGGAACGGTTCGATAAGAGGAGCGTGGGCATGGGGAGAGTACCTCAGCTACTTTTCCGTGGAAGACACATTAACAAGATGAGATAGGATGGTTGATTCTAGACCCGAGCGCCAGGAATTGGTGGTAGCTCCAACACACATATCCCTACCAGAAATATACACACGGCGCGCTCTCTCAAACCTACAATCATCGCAGTAACGTGCAGTTGCAGGAGGATGGAAGTTTGACTTGTTCACACACGGATGCGGAGATGACACGCAAACCCTTCCATAAATGCCCAACTCGCTAACTGACTACCGTATCAACCCACCTCCTCCACGTGATTGATGGTCCAGGATAGGTAGTGCAACGCCTTCTCTTCCTGATAATCTCGCAACCCTGCCTCCAAGACTTTCGGCTGACTTATCCACGCCCGGAGTCTACCCTCCCAGTCAGCAAAGCGGGTCAAGGTGAACGCAGCGCCGCCTTAGTATCAGCCTCACGGTGTTCTAAGGCGGCGACTCCGTCCACGTGGCCATACCAAGCGTCGGAAATCAAGCGCGTGGTCGGGGCAAGATCTTTGACATTCTTTCAAAGCGGGCCGAGCCAGCTTCTACGCCCCTCGAAGAAGAGGGGGTCTAGCCTCTCCCACACCTTCTTCTTGACGCTGTCTAGGTCTCCGCGAAGACCGCTCGCGATTTGGCTCCGCACGTAAACGCGAAGATTTTGTACGGAGGGGTCGTCATCCTGCCGCATCGTCATCCAGACGGCCGTGGACAGAACACAAAATGCGCGGGTGAACAAGTTGTAACCAATAGGCCCTCGTTGCGATGTTGATCAGGCGTTCAACTAAACGACGAAAGCTGATGCCACTCTGCGAGTTCACGCCAACTGGATACATTGGCTGATCCTTCGTGTTTAGTCTGAATTGAGAGGGAAAAACGATCTACATGGCGATCTCACCCGAACATCACCACATGCCGCGGCGGCATCATGCATATCGCGGACCATGTCCTTGTCGCGCTCCGCCTCTTCGTCCGAACCCTCCGCGTCGTCGTCATTCTCCTCATCGTCGGAGTCCTCTCGGCGCCCTTGCGCCGAACAGCATTCGAGAGCACAANAAAACGATCTACATGGCGATCTCACCCGAACATCACCACATGCCGCGGCGGCATCATGCATATCGCGGACCATGTCCTTGTCGCGCTCCGCCTCTTCGTCCGAACCCTCCGCGTCATCTTCATTCTCCTCATCGTCGGAGTCCTCTCGGCGGCCTTGCTCCGAACAGCATTCGAGAGCACAAGGGGGGAACTACATGACGCAGCCGCACTATGTTTTCTTTGGGAGCATCCGGAGAGTTCCACTTTGCGGAAATGACGTCGGAGTATGAACAGGGGGATACATCAAGCGGTCATCACCGACGGGGCAACACCCAGCAAAACAAAGCATGAAGAAAAAACACAAAACATGCACAAGACTATAGTAGTCACTGCTGAGACTCGTTCGCTGCTGAGACTCGCTCGACTCCTAAGTAACCCAGGCTTTNTCGATGACCGCAACCATGTAAGTAGTGGGCATTGGGACAAGTGGGGGAACTAGGCGCGAAGTCACCGCACCTGTTGGGCAATTCAAGAGAACGAAGACGGAGAGAAAATATTGCGCAGTGTCATGTACTACAACACGACAATGGACGCCATCAACATTTTCCGCGATAAATTCTCACCGTAGACAGCCTCGTAATAACCCTGACAGGTGATGGGGTGTCCTCGCCGAAAACGGCGTTCCGCATCCATTCCATATCGGCACCTCTGGGAGGGGGAAGGGGGAGGGGAAGAGATAGAGAGGAACAAAATAAAAAACAACTGTTTCGTGGGTCTGCGCTTCTTCTTCCTTTTTTTTGTCCTCCCATCATTGCACCTTGTCGTCTGCCCCTCTGGCCCCTATCCTCCACTCCTACCAGCCAGACGACCCAACCGGGGTCACATAGGAGGGAGGGTTGGACCCGCTCCTGCGGTTTCTGCCTGAGATATTTTTATCGCGAGAGGGGTACAGCAACCCCTTCCCTCGCGACTTATGAAATCGATCAAGTTTACAAACAACGAGCTTTGCAGCGCGTCGCTTCCTACGGACTAGGATATAATAAGCGAGAAAAAGCTCACTCTGTCGGGACTCCAACCCATAACCTGCTTCTGCACCATACGGGAGGTAGAACAACTAATTCCACTATTCCTCAAGAACGAGGCCGCCACCGAACTGGAAACGGGTACGGCATGAATAGCCACAGCCAGGGCCACCACATGCCTCTGGCAGCGGCGGCGAATTTGGAGATTACGGTCTTGCTCTGAATATTGTCCCCGGGTTGCTCCATGCACGCCTGTATACATTGCATACGTTGAAAACCACGGGTAGGCTCGCGTAGATCTGCGTCTCCTGCACTATTTTTACTATATACGCTCCTCTGTCAGCATCCAATGGTATATTGTTTTTGTCATATACCATTGGCTATATGTAGCAAGTGCAGCAGTGCCTAGCGCAGAGGAACAACACCCCCGCACCTCGCCAAAAAGATGGCGTAAATCGGGTACGTCAGCACGTCAGTGTTAGAGTCAAAGGATGGGGTGAGTGCCGACTTCCGAGTCCTTGAAAAGGGCGCAAAAAATGGCTGCGACGGGGTCAAATATTTGCACCGCTTCTTGTCGGGGGAACAGAGTAGTGCCTGACCGGTTTGCAACCCTAGGATAGACTGGGAGAGTCCGGTGACATCTGATTTGCTGTATTATTTGTAATTGTCCCGTCCTCCTGGACTATTGGTCTGTAACTGATGGCACCAGACTCTGGATTAATATATCGATACCGCCTACATTGGGTCAGCAGATCTGCGGTACCGTCGTTTGATATACATGTCTCCATGTAAGATATATTGCACTTGCGTAGCCCAGTCACGGAGATAGGGGCATCTCCGCCCCCGCCACCATCGAACCCAACGCTATCAACAGCAAGGCCGACCGATCCCACGGGATGTTTACCATCACCATGCCAGCAGCGCCGGTGAGAACCATTGCGACGGTTGACACGTCGCCAGCGGACGGGGAGAGCCCGGTGCTGGAGTTGGCAGGTCTCTTTCGGTGTACGTCTCGTGCCTTTGATACCGCGTCGATGCCAACACGCTCGAGGTACCTCCCTGAATTAGCGCTCTGACCACCGGGTCCTTCGCCCTGATCAGGCGAGAGGAGCGGGGGGGGGGCGTAGTAAGATCATCAGGGATGGAGGGAGTATGGGGAATCCTACCCGAGAGATCTATGGTCTATCACGGCTTGTCGACCTGCAGACGCAGCGTTGAGTCTTTCGGCCCTCACCACTCCTTGTACGAGAGAACAGCCCATCATTCCGAACATAGAGGAACAGCACGTGATTTTGAAAACTCCTGCTTTTACAACTTGCCACCATCCTACTTCCTCTAGTCGTGAAGGCCCTTCACCGGACGAAAGTCTGTCTACTACTACGGCGAAGGACAGCTGCCGTGTGAAACCTTTTACACCTATTCGACCTCGTGTTGTAGTGTCGGCTTCGTCTGCTACGACGATGTGATGCTATAGGAATTGCTTCATGTTTCGTGGTCGAATTCATTCAACAACCAATCCAACTCTACTTCCGCCGCTAACCTCCGCATCTGATCAACAGCCAAAACATCATTTCGATTGTATGTACCCCAACGAACCCTTTGTCCATCATTTTCGACTACACCCTTCCAAGTGGTTCCAGAAGCTAGCTCCGTTGGTGAGGTGTCGAACTAACTCACCCTAGCGCATCCAGCACCCAAGGGCCGAAGCAAGTGCCGAGTACTCCTGTCAAGACCAGCACGCCAGCGATCGCCGGAGTCTTGTAGACGCCTAGCGCCGAGGCCATGGAAAGGCGTTTTTCCCTGTCGGGGCCTGTGAACAAAACGCGCAGGGCCTTCCGAACCTTGGAGACCCGTGACGGTGGTGCCTCGGCCCGAAATGCCACCTGGAAAACCTTGGGAACACCGAGTAGCCTGCAATCGCATTGTTTGGGCCGNGATCAACAGCCAAAACATCATTTCGATTGTATGTACCCCAACGAACCCTTCGTCCATCATTTTCGACTACACCCTTCCAAGTCGTTCCAGAAGCTAGCTCCGTTAGTGAGGTGTCGAACTAACTCACCCTAGCGCATCCAGCACCCAAGGGCCGAAGCAAGTGCCGAGTACTCCTGTCAAGACCAGCACGCCAGCGATCGCCGGAGTCTTGTAGACGCCTAGCGCCGAGGCCATGGAAAGGCGTTTTTCCCTGTCGGGGCCTGTGAACAAAACGCGCAGGGCCTTCCGAACCTTGGAGACCCGTGACGGTGGTGCCTCGGCCCGAAATGCCACCTGGAAAACCTTGGGAACACCGAGTAGCCTGCAATCGCATTCTTTGGGCCCTGCGCACAACGAACTTCCTCGTGTCGGTAAGGAGTGAAGAGCAGTAACCTCGACGTACCTGAAACGGGTTCGCTGGCGAGCGTGGGGCGACCACTACACAGCAATACATGGGTGTTGATGCTCCGATCGGACAAACTGGCGGGGCTCTGGGAAAGCCTGCATGGAAGCTTTCGTGCGGGAGATGAGGCCGTGACACATCATGTATACACCTATCGTTGTTGGCAGTCATGGCATCAACGTTGTGTGGATGATATTGCTGGTGACAGACAGAAACAAGATTGGAAACAAAGACACGCAATGTGCACATACGGATGTGGGTAGTAATCCCAAAATCCGAATTCCACACCATAGAATCCATCGACCCATACCGATGCCATAATGTCATGCGAAACCCCTTAAACATCGACAATTAACCAATCCCCCCCGAAACACAATCCCTGCGTACACGATTTTGCTACGAGTACATCCTTCAAGCCTCATCGAAACTCATAACACTATTGCCTGCCGTACATCATTGATCAGCTCGTGCTGATGCTTCGCAATCGCGGGTTGATTTGCTGAGGGTTTCAGCCCATGGATAAGCGGAGTTACCGCAGAAACTAGCGATACGGTGTCTTCCTGAACACCAGGGAGATACCGAAGAGCGACGTCGCAGCGCAGGATATGGAACCCGCCAGCACCGGTCTCGCGTTACCCAAAATGTACCCACGCATCCTCGGGAAAGGCAAAGCATCTTACACAGCAGGTGGAGGGGGCAATAGGCAGGTCGTCATCGTCGTGGCAAGTCGCACACGTTAGCTATTGCCCGCACAAGTCAATAATCTGCTATTGGGTTGCGAATGGATGAGCCAAGACCTCAATGAGATTACCCCAGAGTTCTGAATACTAGAACGGGATACCTCATGCATACGAGGGCGACGTACTTGTTTTGCACCCGGCGTTCACCTTGGCGTACAACAACATAGTGGTGCCAACTGACCGACGGATGGCAAGTTATCCCCAAGGCAACAGTGTGGAAAACGAGAGCATCGTGGAAAACGAGAGCATCGATGTATTAGATAAATCCCGTTGGAATTGGCCGAGGTGACACGTACTCGCCAACTGAAAGTGTTCAAAGCCTGCATGACTAGTCTACGCGGTAGCCCACTGAAGGCCATCGTTCGTGCGCAACTGGCTGCACAGCAACGAAAAAAACGCGGAAAAGGAGATGATGGATGGTTTCCCACCTAAACAGCGGCGCAGCGAACGAGACCACTGCAGGCCCCAGAAACCTGTACAGACGTTGCCGGCTCCAATCTCAGGCCTAGAGTCAGTGCGGATGCAAGGAGAGCAAGGTTGTGAACATGTGCACCTTTGGTGTGATTCCAGTATCACCTATCAAGGACAGGTGGGTTGTCGGTTGGGTTCCGTGAAGTCTCGACGAGGTTTAAGGGAGCAATCGCTGCCGGGGGAGGGCAGTGAGAGGTGACCAGCGCGTGTTACGAAATACTATGTCCCAACAGTTCGTCTAGTTCAAACTGAGAACCATCAGCAATGCCAAAAGATCAGGGAACCCAAACATGCGACGAGGTACCCCTTCCGCCGCCCACTTACTTGCCCTCGCAACCGCTGGTCCTATAGTACCACGCGAGAGTAACGTGCCCATGCCCTCCGAAAACCAGCACCAACCCAGTTCACTCAAAACACATTTATCACCACCACACACAATCTATACATCGGTCAAGTATGCGCGTGGCTAGTTACGTTTCGAAGGTCGTGGGCAAACTGTTCGCCCTCAAGTGCCCCCCCATGTCGTGGTGTACCCCATCTCTGTCGCTCACCCACATAGAAGAAAGTCACATCCCACATCAAGGAAATCGGCGGATAGTGCAGCTTTGCTGGTGCCCATGACGGCGGTAGCTGCCATGCTCGTCGCCCGTGGAAGCAGCGCAGCCTTCCACGGCATGGTAAAACGATGAGAACCAAGCGCGCCGCCGGGCGGGACAGCGACGTGCTCTGCCGAATAACCGAATAGCGTCGCCAGACCCATGGACGCATTTGCGCTGACCAAGGCAGGACCAAGGAAAATGACCAGCAAGACGCCGAACCACGAAAACGACTCCGACGAGAACAACAACATAGCTAGTGAATTGAAGAGCGCCATGATTGTGGCCGATGCCGCTCCCGACGCCACCGTCCCAATGCCCACCCATCTAACGAGCCGCGCGCCGAATAACCCTCCAGGTGTTGGTCGTCTCACGCTTTCCGTGGGTAAAGTAGACGACACGGCAGGGGTAGCAGCAGCGTCAAGGGTCATACAAGAAGACGTTGATGGAGGCGACGATGGTGACGATAGCCAGGAGAGGACGATAACCACGACAGTGATGGAGCAAAAGTGCGCAAGCCAGCCCCCAGCGCCTGTCATCAAAACCTTCGTGACACTCGCGACCGCTCGGAGCCTCGACCCGGTTGGTCTACCCCCCGCGAGAAACCGTGAATACGCGTAGTCTTTCGAAACCTGCCCAGCCGAGTGTCTCGCCGCAGCCTTTGCTGCCGTCACCACCACTTCGGCCAGAGACGCTGACGACCCCGTTAAGCTCGCCAGCGGGAAACAAATCCACGGGACGAGGAAGGGACCAAAACCACGGGTAGCCATCTCAAGAACTCCGCAGATCCTGGTTCTAGCACGTGAACCACCCTCTCGGCGTACGAAGGTGCTATGCAGTCGAGACCAACAAGCCCTGGATCGAAACGGCACTAGCGTCATGGTGTTAAGGTGAGGTACACAACAGCGAATTTTGCACAAAACAGAAAACCTCGACCACAATAAATAGTTGGATGCAACGAGCCGAGGACAAGGTCAAAAGGAACGGGCGTCCCTCCTGCTTGAGTATTCGATGTCAGTCGAACGTGATACGTAGAGTTTTGGCGCTGCTGTTGCGACAAAAAGGTCCCAACAAGAGCAACCTGCAGAGAAGTCATCGAAACAGTCTTCGTTCATTGGACCGGTTCTCGACAGCACCCGTATGGGCGCGCCCGACTTTCGTTCCGAGTCGCTTAGTTTTGATGTGAAACACCATGGTTCGTTGGTCTAACCCATAAATCCGCCACGGGATCCTATTGCAAGACAAGGAGGGTGGGNACGGGCGTCCCTCCTGCTTGAGTATTCGATGTCAGTCGAACGTGATACGTAGAGTTTTGGCGCTGCTGTTGCGACAAAAAGGTCCCAACAAGAGCAACCTGCAGAGAAGTCATCGAAACAGTCTTCGTTCATTGGACCGGTTCTCGACAGCACCCGTATGGGCGCGCCCGACTTTCGTTCCGAGTCGCTTAGTTTTGATGTGAAACACCATGGTTCGTTGGTGTAACCCCTAAATCCGCCACGGGATCCTATGGCAAGACAAGGAGGGTGGACGCGCGTAGCATACTGCCATCCTAAAAGGAAAAATGGAAAGGTCGCTTGAATCCTGCAGCCTTACGGGTCATATCTGTACGTGACCATCGCATCCAGTGTGCCGACAAGGGTGTGTGTGATACCCGGCGGTTCGAGCTGATATCCGGCAGTTTCTCCCGTGTTACCCGGCGGTGTTTTGAAATCCGCGATATATCCTCGCTCCACTATTTTCGTCTCTCTACGCCCCCCCTTGTAGCATCCCAAAACTCCACACCTGCAAACAGCCCCACCACGCCAGCGACGCTAGAAGGAAACGACCACCCAAGCCGACCGGAAAAATGGGGGAGTCCAACATCCGCGGCAACGAGCAGCAGCATCGACAATGTCGTCAGAACCTCTCTGGGGCCCATCAGAAGGGCAGAGACGGGGGTACCGAACGGCGCCGGCGGTAGTGGTGACGGGGAGGGAGGTTCGTCCTCCAAATCTCCCGCTTCAGCAAAGGAGACAGAAAATGGTGGTGCCTGGCGGTGCGCACTTCCACGTCCCGGGGCGTCGTTACCAGTAAGATACGGTCCGCTGCCGCGCTCTGATCCCAGCATGCGTGGCGGCCACCTCGTTGTTCGCGAGGGTTGACGAAGATGGAGATGAACAAAGAGTCACGCCAGGATCTCTCAGAGCCTTGAACGACAACGACAGCGTTCATTCAACAGTCGGGAGCGCGATGGCATGGCGTGGTAACCACTCAGGGGGGACGACGACCTTCATTGCTAGACTGCTGTGTACGAGAATATATACATTTTTTCGTGTGTNAGCCCCACCACGCCAGCGACGCTAGAAGGAAACGACCACCCAAGCCGACCGGAAAATGGGGGAGTCCAACATCCGCGGCAACGAGCAGCAGCATCGACAACGTCGTCAGAACCTCTCTGGGGCCCATCAGAAGGGCAGAGACGGGGGTACCGAACGGCGCCGGCGGTAGTGGTGACGGGGAGGGAGGTTCGTCCTCCAAATCTCCCGCTTCAGCAAAGGAGACAGAGAATAGTGGTGCCTGGCGGTGCGCACTTCCACGTCCCGGGGCGTCGTCACCAGTAAGATACTTTCCGCTGCCGCGCTCTGATCCCAGCATGCGTGGCGGCCACCTCGTTGTTCGCGAGGGTTGACGAAGATGGAGATGAACAAAGAGTCACGCCAGGATCCCTCAGAGCCTTGAACGACAACGACAGCGTTCATTCAACAGTCGGGAGCGCGATGGCATGGCGTGGTAACCTCTCAGGGGGGACGACGACCTTCATTGCTAGACTGCTGTGTACGAGAATATATACATTTTTTCGTGTGTTGTAAGATGTGACAGCGACATGCCCGCGTTGGGGCGTAGTGGGCAAGTCGGTACATGAAACAACCATAGAGAGCAAGTTGAATAATGTACCCTTGCCGCCCATGTGGCGTCGCCGACACCTGTCGAGTATTTAGGTCTGTCTGCGTTCTCTGTTGTTTTCTTCAGCCCCCTCAAATTGATGAAGCGTCGGCGAGCCTCCAGTGCCAGGAGGAAGACCTTAGAGACCTCGTCCACACGATATTTCGGCGTCTGCGCTCGGCTCGCCTTCCACCCAACGGCCCGGATGGGTGGTCAAAAGATGAAATGTCACTCACTAGCACTTCGCGTCCTGTTGAGGCTTACCGGAGCGAAAGAGGCAAGTGTGTTCGTCTCGTCCATGTTCCAAGACTGTGTGGAAGCCACAGTAACGTATATTTTGCCACACACACACGCACATACAAAAGGTGGAAGATCCAGGGAAGTTACGAAAGTATCCGCACTTCCGTGGATCTTCCCACGGCAGTGACTGCCACTACAGCAGCAAGTGGCGACACTTTGGGGTTGTCTCCCGTTGACCCTGAAAGCGCCACTCACGCGACAGCAACTGTAGGCAAGCCTTGACCGAGTCCGCTCGGTCACCGCTTGACATTTTCCTCGCCACAACTAAGAGAACTCTCGCCCTTGTGAGCGATCACTTGAGTCAGAGTGGTCGTATCCATATTGGCGTCGACGAAGAGCCACCTCCTTGGCACTCCTGTGTTTTTTTTTTTTTTTCGCCTGTAGCCCACGATGAGTGGCGACCAGAAGAAAAGAAAAAAGCCCAAACACGGCGCCGGAGGTACGAGCTCCAACTCCAACAACCCTGCCAGCACAGCTACCACCCGTAAGGACGGTGATGCTAAGCACACGCAGGAGGAGGGGGGACGCGCGCACACCCAGTCGGTGCGTGACGGGAAACGCCCCGCGCGCGGGCAGGACCCTCACGGATCGAACCCGAAGCAGAAGTCCGATGGCAACTCGTTCGAACCCCTCCAGAACGAGGACTCCGATTCCGACGAGGATAACAGCGACTCCGACGAAGAAGGCGCAGTCGACAACAACGACAGTGCAGGAGCCGCAGCAGGCAGCCTCGCCGACGACGTCTTGGGGAACCTCAAGGGCCAGACTGGAGGTACGCGTTTCGCAGCTGGAGGCCTGATCGAGCAGCTCCTCGTGAAAGCTATGGAGAAGGCGCTGGAGACAAACAAGGAACCGGAGCCTTGGGTGCTCAAAATGGTCTGCGGTCAGCCTGTCCAGGACCCGCAGGTCGTTCAGGTGAACCCACGTCGCTTACAACCAGACCTAAACGCTGAGGTATCTGTTGTCGGATCCACTCCTGCCCCGCCTACTCCCCAGCAATCGTCACAACCTCGTATCCATAAAAAAAAAAAAACACAGGAGTGCCAAGGAGGTGGCTCTTCGTCGACGCCAATATGGATACGACCACTCTGACTCAAGTGATCGCTCACAAGGGCGAGAGTTCTCTTAGTTGTGGCGAGGAAAATGTCAAGCGGTGACCGAGCGGACTCGGTCAAGGCTTGCCTACAGTTGCTGTCGCGTGAGTGGCGCTTTCAGGGTCAACGAGAGACAACCCCAAAGTGTCGCCACTTGCTGCTGTAGTGGCAGTCACTGCCGTGGGAAGATCCACGGAAGTGCGGATACTTTCGTAACTTCCCTGGATCTTCCACCTTTTGTATGTGCGTGTGTGTGTGGCAAAATATACGTTACTGTGGCTTCCACATAGACCAGGATTTATTTAGTGAGAAAAAAACTCTCGTTGCCGGGACACGAACCCATGACCTGGTCCTTAGCAGGCTGCGAGGCTACCCACTAGACCACCGGGGCGACCGGATTCGTGTGTGTTAGTCTGCCTCTTTGTGTTGCAGCCTACCTCATGCTCTACCACGCTGTCGATGCTGCTCTGTACCTGTTGTTGCCGTCGGACGTACGTTGGTGATCATGTGCCTGCACTGGTGTGGTCAGGCCAGGCCTGTTGTTTTTACCGTGTAATCCGGAGTCTTTTCTTCTGGCTGCTCGACTGTATGGTGGTGCTACAATACTGGGCTGGTAGAGGTGCTGGCATATGCNTTCGTGTGTGTTAGTCTGCCTCTTTGTGTTGCAGCCTACCTCATGCTCTACCACGCTGTCGATGCTGCTCTGTACCTGTTGTTGCCGTCGGACGTACGTTGGTGATCATGTGCCTGCACTGGTGTGGTCAGGCCAGGCCTGTTGTTTTTACCGTGTAATCCGGAGTCTTTTCTTCTGGCTGCTCGACTGTATGGTGGTGCTACAATACTGGGCTGGTAGAGGTGCTGGCATATGCACCCACTTGCCCAACCCCTTAACTTCATGTGTCTACCCTCCATGCTCGCGTCGTGGGACCCGTGGCCTGCCGTGCGGTGGTGTCATTGCTAGGAATGCTCCCATCCAGTGCTGCTCTGCCGGCCTCTTACGGTGCTCGTGATGCTGGCGCTGCGGGAGCTTTTGCGGGCTACCCTGCACAAGCCCACCCCGTACAGCAACAACAGCAGCAGATATTGACCACCAGCCCTCCGCCGGAAACGCAGGCGAGACGGGTTGATGTTTGACAAGTGCGGTTCGGCGTGACACCGCCAATGTTTGTTCCGTGGGTGTAGCACGCCGATGGATTGTCCCTGCTGTGCTGTACCTCGTGCCTTTGAACGCGTGCACGTACGGTTCGCTGTTTTCGTGGACTCAGCGGTGGACGGCGAAACGTGTCACTTGTCTTGTCTTGTGATCAAACGTTGACATACAGTAGTGTCCTTCCCTTCCGCCGCGTGGTGGGTTTCGCGTGCGGTTGCAGGCCATGTTTTCACCTCGCACTGGTCTGCCGTTGGGAACTCCGGCCCCTGTGGGTGCTCCCGATGCTGGGGCCGCCGGAGGTTTTGCGGGCTACCCTGCACAAGCCCACCCCGTACAGCAACAACAGCAGCAGACATTGACCACCAGCCCTCCGCCGGAAACGCAGGTGACAATACCCGTAGTGTTGCACCCTCATGCACGACGGGGAGGCTGCGATGGTATGGGCCATGCATGTGTTGGTCTGGGTGTACCTACAAAAATGTTCATTCTGTGTGACTTGCCCGCTGCATTCGCCTGCTCGGTGCTGTAGTACAGTAATCCAGTTCGGGTATTTTTGTGCTCGATGCTCTCACTGTGCTGTAGAATCATCCACACCCCGAAGCACGTGCCGCTATACAACCCGTCGTATTGCGGTTTGAACACTAGGTGTACGTTCCGGCTGTGGTAAAGGCGAAGCTGGAGGCAGTGCAGACGGAGGGAAGGACGCTTAAAGACGTGGAGGAGGAGGTGGTGAGTTTGTGCGCCGGTGAAGGGGCGATCCTTTCTACCGCGAAGTCGACGAGGTGTCGCGACGGCGCAACGGATCGTGTGGACATGAAGAAGCTGATTTGTACCCGTGGCGGGAAGAGCCGGCACCTGGAGTACGAAGCTAGTCTAGACACCGGTAAGCGTTTCATCCGTGGCACTTGGGCATACTAGGAGAATGGTTGAGGCGACGAATACGGGGCGAGTCGCGCGCAAGCCTGTTGTTAGCATGCATGCTTCGGTGCAGGTGAATGCATGACGCACCGCCGATGACACACCGCCTATACTCCGTCTCCCATGTCGTTGCGTGTTGCAGCACCTGGGGTACAACGGCGGAACGTAAAGGGAAGCGCGAGGACTGGTTGTCCGTTTGAGGTACGAAGCTGGTCTCCCGCGGAACATGTCTTGGTGCAGTGGACGGAGAAAGGGTCCAACAGGTGTCTGAGGTCTTTGAGCGTGGGATTGAAAAAGATGTCCGAACTGCGTATTTAAAATCGGGCAGGGGTCGGTCGGGTGTCTTGTGATCCATGATCCATGTTGTGATCCATCATACACACACATATCCCACGTATTCATCGTTTAATTTCTACTCTTCTATCCTTATTGTGGACCCACCGTTCCGTCATTTCAGGTTAGCGTCCGGCACGCGAAGTCCCACAGGTGGCCCAGGATTAGCAACATGAAGCTCACGCACAACCACAGCGTCGACCGCGAGGCCATCGACGTCAAGCTTCGAAAAAGGCGGCGATCGGCGAGATCCACGCTACAACAACTTTGACTTGTGAATTGAGAGCAAAGCAAGAGGGGCGGCGTTCAAAAACTATGTCTAGTGGTCATCGTGCTTCTCGCCCCAACCTCCGACAAAGGTATACGTTGGGGTAATGACAGAGGGCTTTGGTCTGCTTGCACGCCGTATCAGACCATAGTCTGTGCGGAATTTTCCGGAGCGTAAAACCACTGCTGCTGTACCATGTACGTGAAGCACCCACGAAGGTACGTACACCGTGCCAAGCTCGCTCAAGACTGAAATCGTCCTTGGTTTCGGCTTCGTGTTTTTATCCAGAGTGCACGTGTTGTACGATTGGCTGTTGGGCTTTATGCTTCCTTTTCTTGCAGCTCATCTCGCAGCTCATCTTCTCGAAGTCTTCTTGCGACAAGCGCCCGGATCTTGATGGGCTTTGGTTGATCGTCGGCCGGTCGTGGTCATAAAACCCCATAATAACAGTTTCTCGTCAAGGGTTGCGGAATTTCCAGTGACATGAGCTTCCAACGCCACTATATCATGCGACACCGTACCCTTGTTAGGCTTGAACTTGACGAGAAACTTATTCGCTGCTCCTGTGGTGTACATGTGGACAGAGGAGAGTACCGAGATAGATGTAGATGATGCTGTTGTCGAGGGGCCACTGGCGAATTTCATCTCT